ATATAACTAACCTTAGTTGGAACAGCAGAGTGTACCAGTATGTTTTTCTCAACCACAAGATCTCAGACCTGATCAGGGTGTATGAGAATTGCGTAGTAGAGTTTGGGATTGTTCTGCTTCAAAAGGTTGTTGGAGGTCAGTACAATATTTTCCCTGCCTTCTATAACCAGTCACAGTTTCCAGACTTTTACTTTTGGTGTTAAAAGTTCATCAGACTCCATTCTAGTAAATTTGGAATCAAAGAAGCCAAATTTCAAGTGCTGGAGCTTTTTTTTTTTTTTTTTTTTGGTTTTTGGACTCTGCTTGTCTCTGCCATTTGAAAGCCACTAAAAAGGTACTTCAAAGAAACAATTTGCCACATTTTTAAAACAAACAAACAAACAAACAAACCCTGGGGTTTCAATGCTAAAATCTGATTACATGATTCTCATGATCATAAAAGGAATATTAAGCAAGATGCTTTCTTTAGAATACCAATATTGTCTCCTCCACTACTACCATTCATTCCCCCCCCCCCAAATTTGGGTGATAAAACCAGTGCATTTTTTCTAAAAAAAAAAAAAAAAAAAAAAAGGTGCCGGAACTCACACACGTCATACAACCCGCCTTGCCTACCCTACAAGGTTCCATCCAAAAAAGGTGCCGGAACTCCGTTCTGGGCGTTCTATGAGAAAAAAAAACCCTGGATAAAATACAAATCAGATGCTTTTTCTTCTGCAATCTCTGGAATTGTTTGAAACACAGAGGTGCCCAGAGAATGGGTGAGGAGATGAACTGTTGGAGCAGACTTGAGGAAATCAGCCCAATCTCAATTACAGTTTTGCAGAAAGAGGGAGGAAAAAGCAAAGCTGGGATGCCACGGGTTGGGAGCAGGGTATACATTGCCTGAGGCTTAGCTTGGCCATTCATCTACTCTCTGCACAAGGTAAAATATTTTTAAAAAATGAAAGTGTCTTTCAATTTGTGGATTTAAAAGAATTTTAAAAGGGCATCTTTAGTGAATTTTGCTGTTGGAATGAAACTGATATGTTTAAAATGTATTTTTTTAAACAAACAAACAAATAAATAAATAAATGTGAAGTAATAGATGCTGAGATTGTTTTGAATCTGATCCAAGCAAAACTGTTATTGCTTGACAAAATGCATAATGGGCATCTTGTGTGTTTGTGGTAGTTGCCGTTTTTCTTTGGTGTATACAAGTGGTGGTGCATTTTAGAAGGAATGACTGGCAGCTGCCTCCATCACTATTATCAGAACAGAGGTCTATTCTTTTAACATTGCTATCAACAAAAAAAAAAAAACCTAAATAGAATTTTTTTTAACTTAATGCTATTCTGAAAAAAAAGACTTTCCTTGTATGTGACTAACAAGCAAGCAAACAAAATATAATATTCACCCGTGTATATTGACCTTTGACAGCATAAAGCTTTTTTGTTTCTGAGCGTTGTAGTGCGCCTGCTCAGAGGAGCTTGGGTGGTGAAGACCAATTGTCCTGTGTCCATGTCTTCGTTCCCAGCAATCATTCCAGAGATATGGAAGCAATCCAAATATATCCCTCAAGACAGTTTAGTTTTCTTGTTCTTCTTCCCTTTTCATCCTGCTGGGTTAAAAAAAAAAAAAAAGCAAAGGATATGCCAAATATATGGAAAATTAAGCTGAAACCCTATGTTGCTAATCCTTTGATTCCTATATTTAAAAAGCTGTGGGAAGAGTTGGAATCTCAGAGAAAGCCTCTTCTGTAGTTGGGTTGGGATTTGGGGGATTTGTGTAAAATGTGCCTATAATATGGGATGTTTTCTAGCATATTTTAGAAGGTACATCTAATTTTTGAGATTTTTTTTTTTTAAAGGATTTCAGATCCAGATTACTGGGTAACTAAAACAGCTGCCTATTGAAAAGGCAGAGAAGGCATAGTATGCCCCTTAATATTGTTGTTGTTTAGTCACTGTGTCTGATTCTTTGTGACCCCGTGGACCATAGGGGATCAGGCCAGGCTCCCCTGTCCTCTGCCATCTCCCTGAATCTGTCCAAGCTCACCCAACTGGGTTGGTGACACTATCTAACCATCTCATCCTCTGCTGTCCCCTTCTCCTTTTGCCTTCAATCTTTCCCAACATCAGGGTCGTTTCCAATGAGTCTTCTCTTCTCATTTGGTGGCCAAAGTATTTGAGTTTTATCCCTTAATATAATGTGGGACAAAAGCCTCTATAAAGATTTTACTTGCCCCCTATGTATGTATTGGAGCTCCCCAGTATAACTCTTCCTTTTCTTATGGGATGATCAGGATCTTAACATTCAGCTTGCATCCTGTGATTATGTGTGCTTGCAGCAGTCATCTTCCTGTTGCATATTTTTCCATTGGACTCTTCTGAACATTTGTCTGTATCCTTTAATAATAACTAAGGTGGTGATGATCACGATGCTGCTTTTCTTAAATATTTGGCTTTGCTTGAAGCCATAATTAACTACCGAATGTTAAATAGGTCGTTCCTCATTGTGAGAAGGACAGCGATTCCATTAGCGTGCTTAGCAAATCAGAACTAAGTTTCTAATAAAAGATCATACAGATTGCCTTGTGTAACAGCTGCGTAAGAAGAACATTTAGGGTAAGGAGGAGGTTACACTGAAGACTGTGTCACAACTATAGACTTCTTGAATGCAGAACAGGCTGTTCTGGAAAAGAGCACAATCCATGCATAAGAATAAGAGTTAGAGAGCAAGAATCAGTCCAGGCCTCTGACATAGCATGTTGATTCCCACCAGGCAGACATAAAAGACAACATGGGTAATCCCAGAACCTTTTGGCACTGGCTTAGATCGAGGATACATTCAGTTGTCTCTCCTACTGGCAGACAGATTGATTTCAAATGTATTCAGCCCTCAATAGAGGAAGAAAAATATTTCCCAAATATTTCTGTGCAAATAACTGTGATCTGACATGCATGAAAGGATACCACGAATGGTCTGCACCAGCCTGCCTTAGATCAGGTTGTCTGAATTGCTGAGAGTTTTTCCAGGTATGGCATTTGAGGATTCCTCAGGCTGGAAAACATGGCCATGTGAACTGGAGATAACAGGAATTGTAGCCAACACAGTTTTGTTTTGTTATTTTATTTATTAGACGTCTAGAAGTATACTACCTATCTTGCCAAGGCAGCTCTGGAAGGAACCAAATTCCTCAGACTTCAATGCCTTGTTTTATACATGTAATTCATGTCATCCTTTCTCCAATATAAAACACCAAATCTACCCATGGGAAAAATTCCAGAACTAACATTTTCCTGGGAACTTCTTTCCTTCCTTCCGAGTAATGAGGTTGTGCGACCTTTGCTTTCTCTTCCTTTTGTAGGAAGATCAGTAGTAGTCAGGATTGCTAGGTAATATGTTTATATCATCCAGCTCCAATAACCGCGGGTGGTTTATAATATCGAGAGAGTGCTTCATTTTTTTCTTAACAATTCTATAATTAAGATAAGCTAATTGGAAGCTAAGCAGGGTCAGATCTGGTTAGTAGTTGGCTAGGCAATCTCCAGAGAATCACTGGGTTGTAAGCTAGATTGGGCATTTCAAAAACATTTGCATTGCTGCTAAGAAATCTATGTGGCCATGAAATCACTAGAAGCTGAACTTAACCTGAAGGAGATTATCTTTGCAAACCAGGCAGTAGCAGAACCAGATAAATAAATCTGATCACATAAGTAGGAAAAAAAGAAAGAAATCACTGTTATGTGACATCTGACACACTTTGGCTTTATTCTTCTCTGGGAGACACTTCATGAGATGCAAAATTTGGTGTAAATAAGCCACACAATGTTGATGAGTGAGATAGCTCTGGCAGGATCTAGGCCCAATCTTGTTGTTGATGGAGTTTTTTGAGTGCTTTAGCTTCTCCAGAAACCTCACCGATTCCGTCACTGGGCTTGGCTTCAGTATCTGATGAGGTTGAAATTGCTGTGTGGGAGATTGGGTGTGCCAGCTTCTCCTTTCTTCTGACACCTTTAGTGTGTGGTAAGAGCTCCTGCTGTCATGCTCTAATCTCCACTGTCCTGCCTGTGATCCAGAAAGAAACCTGGATCAGCGTAGCATCTGGAAGTGACCCAGTCAAATAGAGGAATGCTGTAAGGGACGGTTGCTTACAATATATGTTCCTGCAAATGTTATTGGAACTATTAGTAAACATTCAACTGGAGCTAACCTTGACAAGTCTTAATTAACCCCAAAGACCAAATTGCTTCCCCTTGTAAACATTCCAAGGGTCCTTCTACTGATTTCTGAAGTTCATCTGCCTGAAGGTCAAATTGTTCTTCTTTGTTCCTGTTGCATGTATGGTATACTTTTCAGGAAGGCCTTGCTGAAAAATGAATGTTTTTTTCTGACTTGAGTTATGTGTCTATATTATGTAAACGCACATAAGCATTTTATGTAATGCAGTTCTGTACAAAATCCCAGCTTTTGTTAAATAGAAATCTTATGTGGTACCATGGAAATACATTACTGTGTATATATCAGAACGTTCAGTTCCAGGACCACCCATGGAATGAGTGGAGAGAAGGTTAAGAAACAAAGTGCTCTCAACCTTGAAGAAAGAATTTGAGAAGTAATTGAGCAGTCCTGGCCTTTGGCTGTGTTTTTTTCCCTTTCCTCCATAAATAGCACTTGTGGGCAATGAGAAAGGTAAAATAAACTAGAAGGGCATTGCCAACCCATAGTAGTAGATAATTCTTTTCTCTTTCTCTACTATTTTTTTGATCTTGGCTTATTAGGCAGACTTCATAAGTGGTTGTATTGCTAATATTTCTGGGAGCGTGCACCAAGCTATGAAAGCCAGCCTGTCAAGGACACAATTCACTCCTCCAGAGAGCCCAAATTTGCATTATTGGATTGCAGGACTGCTGATGGCAAGACTCAAATTTGAACAGATGCTGATCAAAAAGAAATTGATTCGGTGACAATAAGTGAAAGCTGATATCCCAAATGCCTTTTATGTTTCTCTGCTTTAGAAAGAGTTGAGACCTCGTCTCTGCCAGATGAAGAAGGGCCCCAACGGCTACGGGTTCAACCTCCACAGTGATAAGGCAAAGCCAGGCCAATATGTCCGGGCTGTGGATCCAGATTCTCCAGCTGAAGCTTCGGGGCTGCGGCCTCAAGATCGTATCATTGAGGTATGTATTGTGGGGTACACTGTTTGTTGCAAATGAATTAACATTTGAGTAATCTAGACTCTGTCTTCTCAAAGGGAACTGATTAAATGTAACTTGTGATCCAAGAGTTGTGCCAGCTTAGCCATTTCTGAGCTTTTCAAAATCACCTCATATACCTCGCTGTTTTTAAGCCAAATAAATTGCCAGTGAAGTTGGGGAAATAAAATATCCATCCATTGTCCGATTTGAGAGTAATTATTGTTATATAGTATTTCTATAGCCTGCCATAAAGAATGCAACCAAATGCCTTTACCTTGCAAATAAGTAGAAGTCTAAAGGCAGAAAAGGCAGGCACAGCCACACTTCTCTGTGCATTAATGATTCACCTGTGGAGATGGTTACCAGCATCAAATTCCTGGGTGTGCAGCTAACGAGTAGGCTGGCTTGGTCGCTCAACAGCGAGACACTGGTGAAGTGGGCACAGCAGCGCCTGCATTTTCTGTGTCGCATGAGAAAAGCACATCTTCCTTCCCCTGTCCTAACCACTTTCTACAGGGGGACGATCGAGAGCATCCTGTCATACAGCATCACAGTCTGGTTTGGAAGCATCACTGCTTCAGACAGGAAGGTGGTGCAGAGACTGATGAGAATGGTCGAAAAGATCATTGGCAGCTCCCTCCCTCCCATCCAGGACATAGTACAGAAGCGCTGCTTGAGCAGGGTCCGTAAGATTATCTGGGACACTACACATCCTCTTCACAACCTGTTTTCCTTGTTACCTTCTGGGAGGAGGCTTCGTGGTATTTGTAGCAGAACATCCAGATTCAGCCATAGTTTCATTCCATACAGCATTAACCCTGTGAACTCTCAAGCTTCCTCCTTCTGTTATATATTCAAAATGGACAGTATTTAATATTTATTTGTTATGCATATGTAGGGGTGTGGGTCTATACATATGTTGTATATAGTATGTTTAGGTGTGTGTCATGTATGTGTTTCACTTTGAGAGCGGACAACTAAATTTCATTTTTGATGTGTGCCGTTGTGCCCACAGTAAAAAAATGACAATAAAGGTTATCTTATCTTCTTGTCTGAGACCATTTTCTTAAAGATCCTTGTAGACTCTTTAAATATAAATTAAGACCTTCTTTCCTGGGCTCCTCTCACTATTGCAATCTCACCTTGGCAGCAAGGTTTACCTTTTGGCATAGGAGCTCAATAGCTCCACCTCCATGATGCTTGTTGAGAAACTTCAAATTGTCATTGCTGATTACAGCACCATCCAGCAAGGCATGTCCCTGCCCTGAGGAATTTCCAATTAAATTGGGGCATGGAAAAGCAATAACAGAAGATGTTTGGGGCAAAGGTAGCAGGGGAAGACCAGGCTTATGTTTAAAAGAATACCCTTGTGTCTTAACATTGGTTTCAGCATAAGCTTAAGCTTGAACTTCTTGACGGACAGTGTAATACGCACAATAGGATATATTGGATGTTGGTAACCCAGGCTCACTTTCATGCCAATAGCCCCTTTTAAAAATCAGAGGGGAAATGCCAATGGTAGGGAAGTTATGACCAAGTCTGGGAACCAAAGGTGAATAGAAAGCCCTTTTGAAGGGCTAAGTTAGACAAAGATAACTTTGCTACACTATCCAGGGATTAGTAAAGGAGTGAGATTTTTCTGAAGCAAAGCAATTACCATTGGATTACATAATCAAAGCTGTCAGGCGTGCATGGCTAGAGGTGAAGCTACGCAACACTATAGATATATGTAACATTTTATACAAACTCCCAACTACACAGAGTGCTTTCATAGCTTGCAATTCTGTCGCAGTCTTTAGGAAGAAACGAGCAAGAATGGCACTTTTGGAAGGATATGAATTTAGCCAAAGAGAGTGGAAGATTAAGGCTAAGAAGGCAATTCCCTATTTTGTGACAATGTGTAAGCTAGAAAAGAAGGAGTGATAAACATATACAACTTCTACTGTGTATAAATTACAGACCCGTGAGTAACTTTCACTCCTATAAAAAGTTAAGGATAAGGCCACAAGTTCCATAGCCCATTATTCTTATTATTTTTACCTTACAGTGTGCTTAGTTTAGGCTTCTACATATCAACTGCACAGAAAGAAGATCCAGCAACTAGGTTATTTGTAACTTCAGTATGTCATAAAAACCAGGTCTGGGCAGTCTTGATTGGTTGGTGTCGTGGGAGCACTGGGTGTGTCTTTTTTGTTACATGCACAGTTTTGCATGTGCCCAGTCATAATGCCTTTTGGGTCCTAGAGGCACTCTTGTAAATAAAGATTATGATAGAGTTGGTACTTGCTATGCAGCATGCCTTCTATTATGTTTTAATTAAAAGATCCTTTAAAGCAAGATAAGAAGCGTGCCAAGCACAGAGGGAGGTATCAGAAGGATGCTAATGCTCACAAGCCCTATATTGCTGACCCTGCATTGAATTATCAAGCTAGCTTTGCAAATGGACAAAGGGCAGAGCAGTACTGCAGCATCATAATGTGAGCCCCATCCCCTTTCTTCATGTATTGCAATGTTGCATGTACTGTATGCTCTCAAAGGGGAAGTTGGCGGTTATCTTCATTCTAAAAAAGCAGCGAGTTGCTATAGATCAGGGGTCCCTAACCAGAGGCTACGGCCATGTACTGGGCTGTGGCCCATTTATGCACAGTTCCACTTGTGTGAGCAGCAGGGGACCGCTGCTATAGATGCCACTGTGGGAAACAAAATAGGAAACGTTTTAGCTCAAAGTGAAACTAACATAAGGGTTATAATATGCAGGTCTTATACCCAGATCTCTGACAGTGCATTTTGTACTTTCTTTTGAAATTACCTTGAGTATAAAATTATTTATAAAGACAATAAAGATGGGATAAAAGTAAAAATAAACAAATAAATAAATGTAGCTGATTTTCTTGTTCCCTGCTGTTAAGTCATACTGACTGTAAGAATGACTTAAGAATAGTGAGCAAAAGTAATGGCATCAACTAAAGGTCAGAGCTGGGAGTATCCGCTTTCAGTCTAATTAAAATTCTGATATCTGTTGTAATTTATTTTTTATGATTTATACATTGCCTTTAAGCACATGGGTGCTCATTAAGCTCTGGGTACTGCCAGGTTTATATTGCTGTTGCTGCAGTCCAGCCATATCCACTCCTGGACTGCTTGCTGTGTTACACAAGGCCCTTCTCTTTTAAGATAACAACCACAATGTGGCCTTACATTCTAGGTGAAAATAGTCCCTGACCATATTTGTTGAGAAATACAAAAACCTCAAAAATGGTACTTTTGAATGATAATATAATCTGCAGCAAAATTTAACAGCCATATTTCCTTCCTTCTTGAACCTTCAGAAAGGGCAAAACTGGACTCATAGTAAAATCTAAATATAGACCAGTGTTGTGTTTTTGCTCTTCTGAGCAGTAGCTTACTTTAAATTAATCCAGTGACCATTTTCAGCCATGGAAATAGTAAGGAATCATTGATGGATCCTACTGAAAGGCCTACCACCAGATTTAATAGCTTCCATAAAGATACAGGTATCCTAGGATCATACAGCTGCTCTTGAATGACCCTACACAGGCACTGGGTTTGACAGATTGCATCTGTTGTTCTGATGTACTCACCCTCTTGTGTGGCCCTCTGAACTTCCTTGGAAATGTATGGCAGACTTTTCATTAAGAATGCTTGCGTTTTTATTGAACAACTTTCGGTTAGAAATCAGTTTGTCCATCTGAAGTGATCTGGTCTTCAAAGATTAAGCTCCCTTGACCTTTGCAATATATGTGAGGGATTAATGACAGGTATAAAGAACTGGGTTTCAGTGGAAGTGCAGCATCCTGAAGATAGAGCAGAGCCCTGATTTTGATCCATCTATTTCATGTTCACAAATTTGGAAAGGCAATGAAGCTCTAAAGCAGTCTTTCAGCTTGGCATTATTTTGCTCAAAAGGCAGCCTCATAACCCAAATATCCCTGTTCACAGAAAATGTTAATTCACTAAAACATGTTGGTTAAGGATGGTGAGAATTATAGCTTGATGCATTTGGGGGGGGGATACCAGATTGAGGAAAATTGTTTGAGGGACACTTATGTCACCAAAGAAAAGAAAGGCCTTTACTATATGTAATTCAGATAGTTAAACATATGACAGTTTTAAATATCCTGTGACCTATCACATTAGCAAAAGTCTCAGGTATGATGATTTCTATTGCTTTTGTGGGAGACAGGTTATAAGATTTATGATACTATATAGTCCCGTACTTGCTGTTGCTATGGGTGCTTCTGATTGTTGTGGGGTGCATGCCAACATTTCTAAAGTCTCAATATTGTTGGGTGATTGCCTGAATATGTGTTTCTTTGTTTGGGCTCAGAACATGTTTCTTTCCTGGCAGGTGAATGGGCAATGCATGGATGGCAAGCAACACTCAGATGTTGTTTCAGCCATAAAGTCTGGTGGAGATGAGACCAGTCTGCTAGTGGTGGATAGTTTAACAGATGAATTCTTCAAGAAGTGCAGAGTCATCCCCTCTGAAGCACATCTGAAAGGTATGGGATCCTTTTGCTAAAGAAAATTTTATTGTGTTTTGGGTGAGATTTAAAGAACAACTGCTTCCTAGCTAGAGATGCTGTGAGTGTGTTTGAATGCAAATCTGAGGTGAGCCCACTGGATAGGCTAGAAAAGAGCCCCTGACACTTCTCATTTTCTGCCTTAGAGTCCTATACCTAACAGTGCAGTGTAGCTATGTCTGAGTCTTGAGTGGAAATAACTGATCTCACCAGAAACAAGACAGGAATTAGCAGTCCTTTTAAACATTAAATACATCCCAATGATGCAGAATGACCAGGAACAATGTGCTATGTGAACATCCTCAATAGTTTCTGTATTTGACACAAAAGAACTAAAAAAGAAGTGGGAGCACCTCACTGGCTCATTCATAAACGCTGAGTTCATTGTTAAATGAGTTACAAGATGTTCTTCCATCTTTAGGAATGTAAGAAGCTGCTTCATTTTGAATCCTCCACTTAGTTTATTGCACCCAGAATAATGGATACAGACTGATAGCTGCTCTTCATGGTTCAGAACAGTTTGCCCAGCCCTTCCACAGGACAATTCTGAAGGGACTGCAGTTAGATTTTTCTGTGTTCAAAGCATTTGCTGTACTACTGAGGGGTATATTTTCTCTCAAGTAGAACAAAGACCCCCTCCCCCCAAATTCTGGGTTAACATTCTCAAATGCTGGCCTGGTTGTGCAGATAAATGAATGCTAAATTTCATATAAATGAAATCAAATGTTGGATATACAAGTCAGAAGGCCTGTCCCTGAAAAGCATGCATTGATGATTGGGAGCTAGTCTTGGTAATGCCTGGCTCCTTTCCACACAAATAAGAGTCTTTCTCTATCCTCCTTGTTCTCTACACCCAGACACAAAATAGAATTTTCCTGAAAAACAGAAAGACATTTAAACCATACTAGTTTAATGAACTAGTACAAAGCATGTTTGAAGTACATCAAGCTATCTACCCTTGCATGGGGTCCCAAACATCCCAGCAATGAAAGGATTAAAAAACCAAGAAGGCGAGACACATGCTAGCTCACTCTTTTCACATGTTCTTGGCACTTAGATGTCAAATTAGAGCTTGTATTGTTGTTGAGATCTGCTTGCTTCATCTAGGGCAGACAACAGGTTTGGGGCAGGGGCTGCTGTACTTTGTAATCTTATTCTTTGAATCGTGATTAAAAACTGGGAAGTTCGGGGAATGTTGCTGCCAGGATTTTTGATTTGTGTTCTTTGGGGGACAACCATTTCTGGATTAAGCTGGCAGAGTCATTGTACCCCTGTTTTAATCTTTATTTCGTCAAAGCAGCAGCAGCATCAAACATCACACTGCCAACATTAACAATGCATTCATAGGTGTGGAGAGTACATATGACCTGCAGGTTGCCCATCCCTGCTCTAGATTCTGGCCTTTGAAATGTGGCCTTAGAGTTCATGCCTGGCATACACTAAAGGCTCCCCAAATCATCTATGTCCTGGAGGGGAGATTCCCTTTATCTCCTGAACAGGATTAAGATTAGTGGATGACTGTGGAATGTGCACCTTTGAAAGATGTCCAAGGCACCATGTGTGTAATTCAGACAGATTTACAGAACTTTAATTCTGTCAATTACTTGCTTGGAGTTCTATCCAGAATACAGTCTTATCTGTTTCTCTCTATACAGTGTAATTCTTGGATTAAAAAACTGTAAAAGGAAGAAAGGAAGGAAGGAAGGAAGGAAGGAAGGAAGGAAGGAAGGAAGGAAGGAAGGAAGGAAGGAAGGAAGGAAGGGGAAGGGAGGGAGGAGGAAGGAAGGAAGGAAAGGAAAGAAGGAAGGAAGGAAAGAAGGGGAAGGGAGGGAGGAGGAAGGAAGGAAGGAAGGAAGGAAGGAAGGAAGGAAGGAAGGAAGGAAGGAAGGAGTTTTTCTAAGGGAGGATCCTCACATGAAAAACTCTTATAGGTAGTCCTCAACGTATGATCACAATAGCTCAAATTTCTGTTGCTAAGCAAGACATTAGTTAAGTGAGTTTTGCCCCATTTTATGACCTTTCTTGTCAAAGTTGTTAAGTGAATCACTGCAGTTGTTAAATTAGTAACATGGTTATTAAGTGAATCTGGCTTCCCCATTGACTCTGCTTGCCAGAAGGTTGCAAAACCCCCTGACATTGCAATTGTCATAAATATGAGTCAGTTGTCAAGCGTCTGAATTTTGATCATGTGATCACAGGGATGCTGCAACAGTCGTAAATGTGAAAAATGTCATAAGCCACTTTTGTCGGTGTTTTTTCAGTGCTGTTGTAACTTCAAACAGTCACCAAATGAGCTGTTGACTACCTGTACTAGATTATACAAATGGACTGATCTCATGTGAACAAGTTGGAGCTCTCTCTCTCTCTCTCTCTCTCTCTCTCTCTCTCTCTCTCTCTCTCTCTCTCTCTGTGTGTGTGTGTGTGTGTGTGTGTGTGTGTGTGTGTGTGTGCGTGCGCGCACAGAGGCAGAAGAGATTGCTGTCCACTTTAACTGCACCATGAGTTCCGGCCCTTATTCCTTTGTGAGGGTGCTTTTTTCTAGCAAGACCACATTCTTCCTCTTAACCCACATAAGATGCTTTTTGTTTTTTGTCTACAGGGGACTTCATTTATAGAAGGGGGAGTAGAAATAGTTCTATAATTCAAAAACAATCCATATAGCCATTACGTCTATGTAGTTATTATATATTCTACTTCAAAGTTAATTGAGCAGGAAGAAGTAATTCAGGGGATGAGGTCTTTTTAATGGTAATTAAATAATACCATAATTTACCATTAACTAAATATTAACAGCTATTATAATGCCTAATGAGGGAAATGTTGGGTTTTGAAAAGTGGCTAGGAATGGCTTATTTTGGCACGTCACCCAATCCATTTTCTTATCTGACATTATTAGAAACAGTTAAATCCTTCATACGTTTGTGGCAGGGGTCAAATAAGTTTGGCATCCATATATAAGTGGAAACTATTTTCTGGTACTCAGAAAAAGTAGGTTTCTAGATTAAACATACTTTTTATGAGCACAGTAATCTAGTTTGTAACGAAAGGAACATCTGGGGAAAGGCATCTGTTCTGGGCTTGAGTCTTTTGTGTATGCTTTGTCTGTTGTGTTGGGACTGGATCAGCAGTCCAATCACTCTGGAAATGTCAGGATTTTAAGATCTATCTCTACTAGGGCATGTACAAGATGCCATCATTCATGATTCCACTTCACAAGGCTCGCTTCACAAGGAAAGGACAACCTCAAATCGCTCTGCTCCATAGAGAGAGGAATACAGAGTAGTTTTGAAAGAGGGGAGAGTCCAAAGAGAAGAATCCTCCACTGCCAGATCGTTGAGTCAGAGGAGTGAGGCATGGGGAAAGAAAAAGCTTTGCATTGCAGTATTGACATCTGACCTTCGGGATCTTCCAACAGGCAGCCTTTTGCCAAAAAAAACAAAACAAAAAAAACCAACCTTCTGTTTTGCTCAATAGGTCTGAGATGAAAAGGGCACAACAGCACTGAATCATCTAATTACTAAATTATTTAAATGACTTTCAAAGGCTAATTATTAGTGTATAACAACCTCTTAGTTTGCATGGCTGTCTAGCAGAGTCAGTATGTAGAACTATCTTCCAATTTAACATTTGGGACATATATACATAACAGTTCCCTTCTATTTTGTACTAGGATCTAATTAATCATAAAATCATCACATATAAACATTTTCTCTTGGCAAGAAAGTTCTCATTGAGAATCCAGATTGTGGAAGGTTCATAAAGCAGGAGTAGCCCAAGAAAGAAGGGCTCTCTATTTCAGTGGTGGCGAACCTATGGCACAGGTGCCAGAGGCGGCACTCGGAGCCCTCTCTGTGGGCACATGTACTGTCTCCCCGGCCCGCCTCCTCCTATGGTCCCCTCCTCACCAGCAGCCCCCCTGGAGAAGAGTTGCCCCTGGGTGCGGTCCACACGAAGCAGCGGAGCCAAGGACATGGTAGCTGGGCAGCAGGGACAAGACTCCACCTTTGCACCCCATTGCGCGCAGATGATGCTGCAGGGGATGTGTGGAGGGCATGGCCGCCATAGCACTGCTGGGCTGCCTGGGTGATCTGTGGCAGGCCATGGAGGTGGTGGGTGACCCAGTGGGCAGGGTGGAGCGGGGACGGGGTGGGGGGCAGTTTTTAGGCACTCAGTCTCTAAAAGGTTCGCCATCACTGCCCTATTTTATGATTCTCTGGACCAAAGCTGGCCTTTATTACATAATTGATTCACTTGCTTTAGAGTACTACAGAGCTGGAGATGTTGTTGCTCTGTGCTGAATGAAGATTTTCAAGCGTTTGATCTCTCTCCATGTGATGCATCCTTAAATCTCTCATACAATATCTTTTTGAATTTGGATTGCTTGCTTTGGGATCCCACGAAGGGATGGCTGTGGGTGGCAGAAGGAAGGAAACATTTCTGGAGCATCTGTGGGACAGGACTGCTATCAGTTACCCAAGAAAGAGGGGCAGTGCTCTCTGGGATCTCTTCATCCATTCAAACCTTTTTCTTCTAGATAGAATTTGTTGCTTGTTAGGAGGTGGCAACACCTAGCTGACATTGATTGCTCTAACCCAAGGTTCTGTCTTGGTTGGTTCTTGGCTAGGAAACCAGCAGGAAATCCCTAGGCTGAGAAGTTGAAGAATCATCCTAGAAAAGGCAACCCTTAAGATGGCCAAGACAACTGATTGGATGCTGCCTCTCTTGACTCCCTAAATCAACCATCAGTAGACACAGAAATAAACCGCATTTACACACCATTCAAAAGAGACAGCAAAAAGCTAAGAAGGAAGCAAGTCTATGACACATTCCTTCCAGCAACCAACACCCAGATGAAGAGCAAATAGCACTAGACAAACAATCAAACAGTAAACAGCAGCCTCATCAAAAAACTACCAGGGAGAAAAACACACACCCAGCAACACTGAAAGGGCAAACTCCTGTATACAAACAGGGAGCAAACCTCATACTTACCAGCATGATGATGTTCTCTAATTGGGTAACAAAATGTCTGCAAGCAAGCAAACAAGCTTAGAAGGCACCAAGGACGCCACAGTTCAACCCTGAGCTACAGATAGTCTCTTCTATTGGATAGGTGGATATAAACATTAGCACTTGGGATAAAGTATATAAAATATTCTAAATGGTTAAAGAGAAGTTTTCATCTTCAGACACAATGTCGGTAGAGCAATTTCTAATGCGTAGAGCAGCAAAACCTACAGTATTTGAAAATATCTGTGGTACCAGACAGAGTAAGCTCTAGTCAAGCAAAGAAGAGTGTATACATGGTGATGATGATATCCCTTTGTTAGTTCCATCTTATTGCTCTGGAGATGGATGGGATGGGCTGCAAGGGGATTGTCTATACTCTTAGGCTGTGCTTGCCAATTGCCCAGAGCTCAAAGCAAGAGATTGCTAAGGAGTAACCTGAGTGAGCGGCTGAAAGATCTGGATTCTTTCCAAGGGTTTTTTGTTTCTCCTTCTCCAGGGGCCTAGAGTCCTTAAGCTCTGTGTCTACTGAAAACCTTGTTCCTAATATCTCACAGGTGCATTTTCCAAAAGGCAGCTAGACTTTCTTGGGTTTTTTTCCTTTGAAAATGTTTCACTTCTCATCCAGGAAGGTTCTTCCATACTAACAGTTCACCAGTTAAAACTGAAGAAGCCTCTTCATTCAAAGAAAATGAAAAAAAAAAAAAACCCACAAGAAGGTCCAGTTGCCTTTTTGGGAAAAGCACCTTTGGGGCAACCAAGACCTGGATGATTGAGAATCTCCATAGACACCTTATTCCTAATCTTAGTGCCTTGTTCCTCTCAGGGCCAGGAGCCCAATTCTCAAGCTATCCATAATTGGGATCACATTCCAGGTTCACACACTCATGCCTTCTGGTGCAGAACGTCTGCATTTGCAGCAGCTTCTTTTGACATGTATTTATTTACTTAGTTAGTTACTTATTTGCTCATTTACTTACTTATTTCTAAACTTCTATGCTGCTTATCTCTAAGCGGCTTGACATCTGGGGAATGAGCCTACAAAAATGGCAGTATTATTTGCTGCTGTTTCTCTGGCTTGTACCATGATGATGTGTCATGCAAGACCCAAGGAGGTGGAAAGGAATAATTACAGTCTCTCTTAGCTGATAGCTGTGTGTCCAGCTGATGTTCTCTTTGTTCCTGAGAACCTGTCTATTCTGGATGGAGAATGTCTGCCCTTCTAGTTTCGCTCTGAGCTTTGTCTCACCTAAACCAGAACCAAAACTATATTTGGATTATGAGAGACGGCCATTTGTTTTACTGAAAGATGTCCTAATATTTTGCAAATATGTGCAACATACTGTAATTGGAAGGGGAGCCAGGGTCTAAGGAGTTAGGCAGGCTTCCAGCTTGGTCTAGGTTTTTTTTGTTGTTGTTGTTGTTTAAGGCAATACTGGGACATGTTTTTTCTCTCCTTCCCCTGTAACAAAGAATTCATTGTTGTGGCACCCAGCCACCAACTGCCATTTCCTTCAGTCCTTGTGCATTGTTTGTGTCTTTGGCAAGTACACCTCAGAATTATCTCTGTGATTGTTGCTAAACCACAACTCCAACGCCAGCTAACTGCCTTTTCTTCTTCTTTGACGACAACACAGTATCTAAGCCAGAAAGAAATGAATTCTGCCTGCTGCTCTTACTTAATTTCTCAGCAACCATGGTTGAGGATTAGAGCTGGCCTTGAGTGAAAGTTGTTGTATTGGGGGAATCTGAATTTTTAGAAAGGGAGAGGAGGCAGATCAAGAAGCAGATATTTGGATCCTAAGTAGATGAGCACAAACAAGAGACTTTCTTCAGTTCTTGGACTGAGTACATAATTTCCACTGTGTCATTGGTGAAGATTTATTGACAGAGGCTGGAGCCTTGTGGAAACCAGTTGAACAACTGGGGCAGCTTGGCTGAACTCTCACATGATGCTAAATGAGGATTACTGAAGAAGCCATAATGGCCTGGTTCACACTTTACTTTTAAACCCAAACAAAATGCAGCGCATTGTCTTTCCCCACTGCTGAACTGACTTTTTTCTCTTCCTTTTCGTGACTTGTGGTAAATAATGGTGACGTAAAATGGTGGCTCCCAATGCAGCCTTGTATCCTGCCTTTGAATCTGATCTGATTCCACTGCCAGATGACGCTGTCGGTCAGGGGGAAGAGTTTTATGACAAGCATTATGCTGTTGCAGTGCAAGTCCCATCCCTTTTGTATATCTGTTGTGACATCATGCACACAAAAAGGGGACGTAGTTTATGTCAAGATTTTGGATCAGGTCCTGTGTATTCCTCTATGCCCTGGTTAAATGCAAGTGGGGTGGGGGACTGCCTGTAGTATAATGTGTAAACCTGGGAACTGTGCTGGTTTCATAGCAACCAAGCTTTTACAGACCTCTGGCTACATCACAGTTTTAATTGCTTTTGCAGCTTTGCAGCTTTCCATTAAGATACCATACTGAATTTTGCAGATTGTTTTGCAGAGTCTTGGGTTTGTGAGGGTGTTCTCCCCCCCCCCGTCCAGTTAGCATTCAAGGATACACAGAAAAAATTGCTTTAAAACCAAGTCAAGTCTCAATCTCAATGGAGAGTAATTGTCCTGCTGAGCAGTGGCTCTCCATGCAGAATTCTCCATCCTTTGCTCCTTCACTGTTTTCCTGGAAATGCCAGGAACAGCACATGGATCCTCCAGCATGCAAAGCAGGTGCTGTACCACAGACTTACAGCTCTACACTTCCTCTAATGACTTTCCAAGAGTTGAACTCCACCTAATGTTTGCGAAACAGCAAACTATTCCGCCACAATTTTTCTTTTTATTTAATTTGAAAATTTAGGTCCCAATGTCCATAAAACAATAAGGCAATCGGTTGAAAAGTGTCAAAAGTTAGATATCAAAAATTTGAATGAAATGCAAAAGAAGAGAAAAATATTAATGCTATCAAGGAATACTAACTCTGCGAGGGCTTAGAGAATGTTCAGGGGAAGATTTAGGTTAGAACAGCATATCTGATAAAAGACTAGACAGAGTTAAGCAAGAAAAAGTTTGGGGCCGGGACAAAGGATTTGGCATCTGCAGTTACTTAGATGACTGGAACGATCTCAGGGTTTATGGTGTATGTAAATGGCTCCAATTCTTAGATAAGTTTGGCTTATATTCATGAACCTTTTGAAGTTTATTGGGGGGAAAAAAACCAAAGCAAAACACCACATTCAGAAACAAAATAGTCTTCAGTGGTAGCTTCTGTTTTATCATTGAATTATTAAAGCGTCTTAGCAATTATGTGCTTGAGTTTTAGAACTGCTGGCAGACAGGCATTTCTGGTCAAAATAGCCTTGGTAACAAAGCTGAAATCCAAATCTTTGGGCATGCAGGTCTTGTGAATGGTTTGCCAGGTATGAACACCTGCCCATCCCAAATCATTACCCAACACCTTAGCCTGTCAGATGACCGCTATCAACCCCAAGAAAGCTTGGGGAAATAGATAGAAAGGAATAGGTTGCTGCTACTGTTCCACAGCAGAATGCCATTCACTCACCTGTCACTGCATTAAAGCAGCTCTTCCTGTTCTCACTTTTGGGGTGCTCCATGAAGTGTGCAGTAAGAGCACAAATGGAACAGTGACAGCAAGAGGGGATTGTGCTAGGGAGAATTGTGCTTGGTCTACATTCCATGGCTCATGATATAGTTCTTCAGTTTGTGCGCTGCTCCAGATGTTTTCTATAAAATCATAGAGAAAGTTCTGCGTGGAATTCCATGCATTTTTGGTACAGTTTATTAAATTGCAGTGACTCAGAAATTGGGTGTGTTGGACATGTGAAATAGGAGAAACTATTTCATGTTAAGTTGGGAGAATCCGGATTTGCTGCAAAGCTCACTGGATGATCTCAGTGATCTGTTTCACCACAGCTTCCTTTCCAGAGTTTCTATGAAAGTAACACAAAGGCAGGAGTAAAACCACCCTTGTTCCCTAATTGTGCTTGAAGACAATTGTGCTATAATAGAAAATGTAGCAAATCTCTGTATGAAGGCAGGAATAATAGCATTGGTGTTTCAGTCTGACCACTTGCCTATTGGGCGATTGAGAGGGAAAAATACTTGTGGTCGATACTACCTACATGGTTTTGCAATTCACGCCTACCTCTAGAGCATGTAGGCCAGAGGCAGTGCTGGTACTATTTGCCTAACACAAAGTTGTGAGAGATTGCAATGGCACAGGGCACTCACTGAAAACCATACACATTGGGTTAGTTTTGGAGGGATCTAAGGATGTTTTAAGCAACTGGAAGGCATTAATTTGACCCCTTAACCCCTAATAGTCCCCATGCAAGGTACCTTGAGTCCCTGGATAAAAGTGTGCAGGAGAATACATCCATCTATCCATCATTCCATTCATCCATCCAATAAACCGTATAACAATGATCACCTACCCAATCTGATGATGTCAAATATTATCTGTTCTGCTCCTTTAACCAATTCCTAAAGACAAAAGAGTTGTCCATTTTTGCCATATATTGGATATTGATCTGTGGAAGGAACTGCAGAGAAGGGTGCATTTCATTATGTGTGGGTGTGTGTTTGCGTGTGTGGAGAGAGAGAGAGAGAGGGAGAGAAAGAAAGAGAGAGAGAGAGAGAGAGAGAGAGAAAATGGGATGACGGGATATATTTCTAGAGCAAAATTGGGAGATGCCAGAGGAAGCAATGATCCTTGTTTCAGCCTGTTGGTTAAGGGATATGCTAAGTATGGTAGTATTGCAATGGGTTGTAGAAATCCTGCTAGAAGAAACAAAATGTATTCACTTCCTTTTTCTTTCTTTGTTCTATTTCTCATCCCCCCACCACCCTTAGGTCTTTTACCAGAACCAGTGGCCAATGGTGATGTGGAAAAGGTAAAAAATTACTGCCAAGCATATGGTTCCTTGACAGATGTGTTAGAACCAACATTCAACATTGCAGATTCCTCTGCTCCACATGTGGTGGTGGTGGTGGGGTGGGGTGGGGTGGGAGGAGGATCAACAGATTACTGATCAACTCTTATGCCTTTTGAGTCTACATTGCTAGGAAATTTTAACTGGCCCTAATTTTCCAATACATTTACACCGGAGATAATACAGAAGCATTATGCATGCCAAGGTTGTCTTCAAATAGTTGTAAGATAGTTTCTTTTTCCCTGTTTTTTTTTTTAAAGAAAACATTCTCTGTACAAACTGCTCAGAGCACCCCTTGGCTGGCTGCCAGATCAAAAGAGTGGAATCTTCCTAAATTGGTAAAGGAAGGTGGGCTGTGAAATCACTGCTCTTGACGTTCCTGTAGAGAAAAGCAGTCTGGGGAGAGGGGGGAGCTGATGCCTTGGAAGACCTGTCACTCATTTCGGAGCCTGCCTCTTGTCACCGAATAGAATGGCCCATTCTTCACCCGATGGGTGGAATCTCACATCTTCTAAAAGGCCAAGTTACTTCCAGTCTGCTTTGAAAAAACAAAGCCTAATTAAAGTCGGAGAAGAAAGGGAACCTTATTAGGAACTTTTTTTTTTAAAGGGCTGGGCTTTTTTAAAAAATACCTTTGAATATACATTCAGAGACAGAATGAAGATGTTGCCAGACTATGGGTAAACAGTATAGATATGTCATTCAATGTCACCTTTTTCCCCTAGTTGGTCTGAATGTTAATTGCAAGCCAATATAGAAATAGTCACTGTTCTGCACCACCGTCTGCCTCCCATTTGATGTAATGCAATAATCGCTTTCAGAATCATTTCATATACCTCTGTAGAACTAATATAGAAGAATATTTATTTATATTTACATTCATTTATATATTTCTCACATTTTTGAACCAGCCATCTCACTCAGAGAGAGATTGTCTTGTTTTAAAAGATTCTGAAATACAAATATTCCTTGGGGCAATCTTTCAACAGATTTCAAGATTCAAGATCTTTCAGTCTTTCAGTTTTCCTCTTTCATAGCAATTTCTCTCCCAATTTGTCCAGCTCATCTTTTCCCAGAATTTTCAAAGTTTAGCAAAACCTCAATACACGCATAGCATTTTACTAGAAACTGACTGGTTAAATTGTGTACACAAGAGCACTATGAGAACCCCCAACACAAGGCTGCTGCAAGGAATTTTTAATTAACAATTTGCTTATCATTCAAATCTGGACAAATTACAGTTAGTTTTAACTATGTTTAGTGGAAACAAGCAAGCCTTTAGCCAGAAATTATCAAACTGGCTTGCTTTTTCTAATCATGATTCATACTTTAGAGTTTATGGCAGAATGACCAAGTGCAATAAATAGGGGAAGCAGAAGAACTGGAAAAGGAGTGGCTCATTGCAATAATACTTGGTCATGTTTAGCATCTGAATACAGTCAGTGGTGTAAAAACAATTGGAAAAAATGTTTTCCCAAATGGATAAAAAAATCTATTGGTCCAAAGGCAAGCAACATGAAAGGGGAATCTGTTCTAACTTGTGAGGAAGAATTGTGCTGCTTCTGGTCCCTTGATTTTTTTTAAAAAAGAGATGAAGTTAGCAGAGGAAGAAAATAATAGCTGCTGGACATGATCTCCCACTCATTGGGTGGTCACCCCTTTTCCAGAATAGCTTCTGTGGCATCCATTCTGTTTCACTTTCTAATTCTATATTGTTTCTAATGTCCTCAAAGTAATTGATCAAAATAGAAAAGATAGCCCACACAGCTTCCTGGTCAAATAAAGAAACATTCCTCCTACTAAAAGATCCCAGGGAAAGTGAAGATTTACTACTGCCCCCACAGCTCAGAATTCTGCAAGAAAAATTCTTTTGAATCAATTCGCTACCCTTGTGTTGTATGTTAATAAGACTTTTTCTGGCCTTGTTGCCAGCAGGTCAGGAGAGAATTTAAATGAATCTTGATACAGCAAACAATGGTCTTGAGAAGAAAGAATGGACACAGTGTGTTTACTAGACTAGATAGACTGACCAGTCCCTTATGGGAAGCTAGTGTGGGATAGCAGTTAACAATTCAGTTGGGAAATAGGACTATGAAATCATGATGATATTCCTCAAATCCTCATAAAGCAAAACAAAAAAGAATGGACTAGCAGTGGAACTGAACATATTTTATTGCAATGCTTTAAAGGAAAGCATTGCAATAAAATGTGTTCAGGTCCACTGCCTTTAATTTGAAATATTATGCTATGCCTACTATTTAAAGAACCTTCTTCTACCATTAAGTTTCATTTTTTTCTTTTTTCTTTTTTACTTCTAGGGGAACATTAGAGATGAACAATCAGAGATTAATCCCGAAAGCCCTTCTAGCCCTATGACCGTGTCTCCTTCTTCAACTCTAAGTGAACCTTCCATTGAGGTATGAACACAGTCTGGATGTAGTAGGCAAATGGGAGCGATGAGTGAGGCGGAGCGGTGTAGGTAAATATTCCTTCGACTATCTCAAAGACCAGAAGGATGCCTATGGTGCTATTTTGCAGTGATGGAGAAACCAAGTCCCAATTTGTTTGGTAGAAGAAACATTTTTCTCTTAATAAGACAGCAATAGCAATAGCACTTATACTGCTCCATAGGGCTTTACAGCACTCTCTAAGCACTTTATAGGAGCAGCATATTTTCCCCCACAATCCGGGCTTTCATTTTACCAATCTTGGAAAGATGGAAGGCTGAGTCATCCTTGACTCAGGATCAAACTCCTGGCAGTGAGCAGAGTCAGCCTGCAATACTGCATTCCAAACACTGTGCCACAATGGGTCAGTGATAACAAGTAAAACTTCTGCAGTTATTTTTTGTGGCTGCTTGGAAAGATTACATTACCCATATTTTTTTTTTAAAAAAAAAGAGGTTTGTTAAATGCTTCCACTTTTTATTTGGTGAGAAATAGCTATTGGAGATTTGGTAACAGATTAGGAACTGTAAGATGTTCCTGCTGAAAACAATTGAAGGGAGGTGATTTGCTATTTGCATCTAACATCAATTTAAGGATCTAATTGCATCCAGGGAGAGTTATTTCAGGGGCAATAAAGTGAGGCCCCAAATTAGATTGAGAATATAATGTCAAACTGGAACTGTGTATCACTACTTTTCTTTGAGAATTGTATTTTGCAAAAAAAAAGGGGGGGGGACTAATATCCCCTTTCGCCATAAAGAAAATCTGATATTAGGCAGGGTCACCCAAGCCATTTCTGTATGTATCCAGTGGAAAATCCCAAATTTTAATATTGCGTGAGTGTGGCTTTTGTTGTCCCAAAAGTGGATGAGGCTGAATTCTGTGAATGCGTAAAAGAGAGTTATTTAGCCTAGCCTTACAAGCTTTTTTCTGCAGGCTCCCAAGGTGGATAGAATCCTTTTTGCAAATTATGATGGTAGTGTGGTCTTGTAGAACCACTTTGGGCATGGCTGTGTGGCTTAAACACTAGATCAAACTGACTTTTACTTTGATTTCCTTTGATCAGCCTAAAGCTAACCTGTGCTTAAAGTATTTTTTTTAAAAAACAAAAATTAACAATTTAATAGCGATCACCAGATGTGTTTGCATGCTAAATGAAATATGAATTAGAGTAAATGAGAGAACGTTAACCACAATCTAGAATCATGGCTTATAGCAGGGGTCTTCAAACTTGGCCCTTTTATGACTTGTGGATTTCAACTACCAGAATTCCTCAGCCAGCGTGCCTGGTTAAGGAATTCTGGGAGTTGAAGTCCACAAGTCATAAAAGGGCCAAGTTTGAAGACTCCTGGCTTATAGTCATGGCTGTGTGAACCCAGACAGAAAATTAAAGAACAATAACCCACCTCACTGCTCTCTGACTCTCTAGCCTATGGTCACAGAGCAGGATAGCAGAAGGGACCCACAAGCCACAACTGCTTCTGCTGCAGTGTTTCCATTGTCACTTGGCTGCTTCTTTTTCTCATAGATTCACAATAAGTTCTGTAAAATAAAAAAATGTTAAAGGTAACCTTTTTAAGGTTAACCTTTTCCCATCCTGCATCAGGCCAAAATATTCTAGGCCAGAGGTAGGCAACTTTGGCTCTTTTATGACTCGTGGACTTCATAGTTGGCTCAGGAATTCTGGGAGTTGAAGTCCACGAGTCATAAAAGAGCCAAAGTTGCCTACCCCTCTTCTAGGCCCTGTAATACCAACCGGGAGGAGACGGAAATAATCTGCCTGCTAGGTGCCTTCATAGACTTCACACTCATGACTACGACAAACAATAGAGAGGTGGGTTGTGTAAATGCACCCAGTAATAAGTGCCTGGGCTTTGGGTCATGCATAAGACAGGTGTTGTTTCTGCAGAAGAGCTGATAACCGCTGGGTACTCTACTGTCTGTTTTTGCACTCTTTTGTTCTTACAGCTGTATTCTCACGAGAAGGAGGAGAAGCTCAGCACCACATCCAATCCCATTCTTGACTGGGACATTCCCCTGGCAGTAGCCAAAGAGCGTGCCCATCAGAAACGTACCAGCAAACGGGCACCACAAATGGACTGGAGCAAGAAAAACGAACTCTTTAGCAACCTGTGAAGCAACCCAACTCCCAAGCGGGGAGGTGATGTAAGGGCACTATTGGAGAATCTGGCCTCCCCTTAGGCCTCCCCTTCCCCTTCCCCTAAGCATTCCTGCCCCCTAGATACATTTCTTTGCCCTTCTTCTCTTCCCTTCCCTTTGCTTGGAAGTGTAGATCTTGTCTTGCCCTCTGGCTACCAGAAAGGGCAAACATAGGGCCTGATTATTCTGCCGCACTATTTTGGAGACGCAGTTGTTATTTAAAGAGGATGAGGAGACATTTTCGCACACCCTCTATATAAATAGCTTGAGCTAGCTTGTGGATGTGAATCCAGAATGAATTTGGTGTCTGTGTTGGATCTGTAGTAGAAGATACATCCATGCATCTATATATATATAAAGAGAAGGTATGCACAGGACAAGGATGTCATATGTCAGGTGCCACGCTGCAAAAGGGGGACAGTGTGATGCATAGCTGTACTGTAGGTCCATTAACTCTTAGAATAGCTGAAGTTAAACATCTAAAACCATTAATCCCTGTAGATCTCAACTGGCTCTCTTCAGAGAAATTATGTTGGATGCTGATTGAACTATTCCAGACTATGTCATATCGGGACTATAGTCTAAGCTTGCATAGAGTACTTTAATTCCTAATTTGATTACAAACGAACATCCTTTTGTGAGGCAGTGCTCTGTCCTCTTTTCAAGGAACTGCTCTGCTGCGACTGGAGAGAAACATTTCTGATGCTCTATCGTCTTCTCTCTCTCTCTCTCTTTTTTTTTTTTGGTAAAGACACTCCTGGATTGCCACTGCAAGAAAGGGCTTAGTAGGCAAGACCTAATACTTCTTGTTTTGTGCTTTGGAGCCTTCAAAGAGTGGGAAGAGGAATAACTGAAAGCTATCATAGCCTGTGAGATTTGCTTTCTTTTGGCTAGGGGATGTGGTAAGGAGTCGTACCTAATGCAGCGGTTGAAAGCACACAAGGATAATAACCTGCACTCAATTTACTCCAGAAATGGAGCCAATCAGGGTTTTCAATAATCATGATTAATTAACAACTTACTGATATAGTGTTTCATTTCTGGAATTGTTTTCTAATTATGGCTCATTTCCCTGTATCTGTGTATAGTATAAAAATCATTCCTCTTCCATAAAGTTTTGTTTTGTTTTTGTTTTCCTTGATTAATGTTTGATGTCAAGTGTAAGAGAATCTGTTTATTGGAACAAAATGCTGCCTTGATTTTGTGTGCTTATTTAAAATTAAGTATTTTTTTTTGTAAAGTCAGATACACAGGTCCCAATGTACCGTATATGCTGGCGTATAAGGCAACTTCCGCGAGTGCTAAAATCGGCGCCAAAGACGGGGGTCGCCTTATACGCCGAGTCGTCTTATACGCCGGAAATACTGGTAGTTTCCGGCGTATAAGACGACGTTCTAGGAATGCGGCCCGACGATAAAGACAGGGGTCGACTTATATGCTGGGTCGCCTTGTACACCGGCATATACGGTATGTGAAAGCTGAAGTCTGCATAAGGCTAGCCAATCTCTCAAGTCCTATAACTTAACTTATAACCTTAACTGGGGCATAGTGAGAGCTGTAAATCCAAGGCCAGCAGCTCACCCAATGTAACACAAATATCACATGCACAATATTTTCCACTCTCCAAAACATGTCTCTGCGTGTTGGACTGGATAATATATAATATACTTTGGGGAGATAGAAATCACCATCTTACCTGCAGTTGTTTTCTTTTTTTCCTGCCAAGGTAGGTGAGCAAAGCCATGTCAATACTTAACCAAAACGAAAAATAAAATTGACAAGGCAATAGGCAGGAGAAACTTGGCACCCTCATCGGCCCCTATTTCAGCCTAGCTCTGTTCCTGGGACTGAAGAAATGCATGACAGGATCTGCTTCTGCTTGAAACTAGTCAGCATGATCTATAAATTTGAAGGGATGTGTTTGTAGAATGAAGTCTTGTTAAAACAATCTACATGTTTAAGGCCGATGTGCCACTCTTAGCCAGAAAGTTCAGGTAAGAATCTATGATGTTGCATTCATAGGCATCAGGTGTTGCCAGTAAGAGCAGGGAAACAATTTGTCCACAAGACTGTCCAGCCTTATCATTTTCCTTGTATTGTTTGCTGCCAGTAAGTCATTTGTGTGATATAATGTGATTATCTCAAGTAGTTCTCATGCCCGGCCTTGTACTTGGGAAACATTTTACAACAGGCAATCAGGCAAAGGCCAAAGAAGATCAGGAAAATAAAGGCTTTATTAAATGGCTCTCCCATTCTTCATTAAAACCCTCAAGGATCTTGCTTGATAAGGGTTGACCAATCTGATTTTGGGGTATTTTGGGGGGGAAAGTTATTAAAAATGATTGCATTAGAGCAGGAGAGAATAAATATCCAAGTTTAGGATAGATACAGGCAGTTTACATGTGAATCCAAGGTGGTTCACGATTTAGGCACTGATCAGATTTAGGTTTGCTTGATGTCAAAGTATCATAAGGTTTTGGGAGTGCTTGGGGTTTGCTAACTTAATTATAAATTAGCTGATTGGTGGCATCCCATTGGCCCCAAAGGACTTTCTTGTGAGATGGTTGCCAGAGAAGCCAGATTAATCTGTTGCTGCAAAAATAACCAAGAGCCTTATGGAACCTTAAAAGTCAACATTTTTTATGCTTCTGAGAATTATTATTCACTTAATCAAATGCACTATAATAAAACCATCAGTTGCTGATGAAGTGGACTGGGGTCCTTGGAAGTTTATGGCATAATCAGTTGATTACATTAACATTAATCTACCAGTGGGGCCTCCAATAAAATGTGAAGGGCTTCTGGGCACAGCTACTGTACTTTACTTAGCTTCCATCCTGGACTCTCCATTTCAAAATATTTCCCTTTCTATTCCTGCTACTCAAGATCGTGAACAATAAACAGGATCTGTCCTAGAGAGACTGTTTGAAGTATGTTTGCTTTTAGAGCTCTGACTTTTTCTCCTCCTGATGAAAACTGCTTTGCAATTTCTTTTCAGGGAGCCTTGAAAACCCACCACCTTTATGTGTTCATACAACATTAATATTGAGCCTGAAAAAGAAGCCAGGAGATCCAGCTTTGCATGATATTGAGAATAGCTTGTGATGGAAGTTTCTAATTACAAGTCAAACTGCTTCTGAAGGGCAAAGGGCAGGGCCCACTGATAGATGGGGATGAGGGTAGATCATGGAGCAACACCAGATTCAAATCTTTGAAGAATTCCCAATGACGCCTTAATAACTTTAAGCCAATAATCTCTTAGAAAGAGTCACCCTATACTCATTAAAATCACCAAATTGTTTCTGCTTAACTAGGCCAGGCTTGATTGTCCAGCTTTTACCATCTGCTTGCCAGAGAGGGACAAGTTATCTGCCGATCATCAGTTTGCCAATTATTTCAGTTTTATTGTAGGGCCAGAGCTGTCAGACAGATCTTAAACTCTGTAATAATATAAATGGTTTGGCCTATATCAAATCACCATTAGCATTTAATAGGCTGAAACCTGCTTTATAATTCCTCAGTGTACCAGGTTGTTCAGCTAATTCATGTGTTCTCTGAAAACTGTGTCATTTACAGCACAATCCTAGACAAATTTAATGACTGAATAAATCTCATTGTGTACAGTACAGCTTATTCTCAGATAAGTAGATATTAAATTCTCTGCCTTTGCTTAACAAATCCTGCCAGACACCTAAGTGAAATGTCCAATGCAGTGGAAACTGATAACAACTTACCTACCATTTCTGTGAGTGAACTCCAGAGCATCGGGACTTTATTCATGCATCAATAATATATAAAGTGCAGTGCAAACAAGAACTACATCTAGAAACAGCTTTAGAAATGCTAGCCATATCCTGTTTGGAGGAGGGGAAAAACAGGTTTTGGGTTTTCACTGAAAGCCAGCACATGGATGTTGATTGTTTCTCTTAGAAAAGTCCTCATCCCATCATAGTAGGTTGCAATAAGGTGTGACTGTCAGAGCCACATCAATGTTTATATCTCCTCCTTTCAGTCAGCATATGAATATGTCAGTGTGCTTATGCTGCCCTGATGACAAAACTCTAATCTACCTCAGTAAAGAAGCAAGTAATCCTGTATGCGTAACTTAATTATTTGACTATTTTTAAGGGTAGCGCCCCTATCCAATGTGTGTGTGTGCACAAGCGGAAGGGGGGGGATAGGTGTCCATGAAATGGAAGCTCTAGTTTCTGAGGTGCTTCAGTCCAATAAGTTCTCACTTAGATTTTTTTTTCTGAGGGCAAATCTGTTGATCTTCTGGAAAGAAGAATAAACAAGTCTGCCAATCTTCTGAAAGGCTGGTAAATCTCTGTCCAAATGTAGTCCACCTGATAGATTGGCGGAAGGTTGCTGGATGAAGTAGGAGGCAGCTCACATTTCATTTGAAGAGAATTCCCCCCCTACACACACACACTTTGTTGTGTCAGCTGGGCAGAGTTTTACTAGTCTTCTAGCAAACTAGCAGACATGTTCTTTCTTTCTATCATCGGAGCTGGAAAATCTTAGTCCAGTGGTGGCAAACCTATGGCACGCATGCCAGAGGCAGCACTCGGAGCCCTCTCTGTGGGCACACATGCCGTTGCCCCAGCCTCGCCTCCCCCCACAACCCCCTCCTCACCAGCAGCCCCCCAGGAGGAGAGTTGGCCCTTAGCATGGCCCACACAGAGCAGTGCAGCCAAGGACATGGCAGCCAGGCAGCGTAGACAAGACTCTGTCCTCATGCCCCATCCCGCACAGTTGATGCTGCGGGGCTCGGGCAGAGGACATAGCCATGGTGCTGCTGGGCTGCCTGGGCGATCTGCAGTGGGCCCTGGAGGTGGTGAGTGGCCCTGCGGGCAGGGGGGGTGGGGGATGGGGGGCGGGGAAGGGGGTAGAGCAGGGGCGGGGCCAGTTTTTTGGGCACTCGGGTCTCTGAAAGGTTCACCATCACTGTCTTAGTCAATTTTGTCCTAGCTTCCAAATATCCAAAAGTGATACATGCTCCAAGGTAGCAAAACAAGGAAGAAAGAACAAAGTTATCTCAACAGAACAAAAATCAACTTTCTCTTACAATGGATGCTAAAATTCCAATTCTATTCTAAAAATGGTGGGAGAGACAGGGTTATGCTTGTAGCAATCTCACCTAATGAACAGGAGTTCAGCAGAATCCAGTCCCTGATTATGCCATCACCAGGATTATGATTGAGAAGTTACACATCACTTGTGCACCAAGCCTTGTGTGGAGAGAAGAAGAAAACACTGCTGTTTTGGAATATAAATGGCTGTACCCATGGTGAACTGGGGATGATATGGAGGCTACATCCTCTAAATTTGATCAGTGGCTCCAATCGTTGTTGGAAATAAGGAAATCACTTAACCATGCATGGTGTGCAAAAAACTGGATACAAACACACATGATAGAGAGAATGTTAAAGATTAATATTAACCTGAACTTTTTTTAAACTGGGACTTATGGATAGCCAGTTAGAAAAGACCTACGGAAGATTGGTTTTGTATATGATAAATGCAGCAAAACTATTGCATGCACAAAGGTGGAAAAATACTGAAACACCCACAATAGAGGTGAAGATGATGCAATTAGCAGAAATAGCAAAATTGAGCTGTTTGATCACATGTACTTTTGTTAAAGATTTGAAAGCTTTTATGGATCTGTTGCTGAGAATTGGGGGAAAAATGAAATGATTTGGTGATTTATGGATTTGTTGATTAAAAAGGACTGAAGAAGAGAAATATAATGTAATTTTAAAGAGGGAGGTGTGAATGTATATTTGACTGTAACTTCTGTAAAGAGGATCAGGAGTTTCTTCTTTGCAACTTTTCTTGTTCTATCTTATACTTCTTTCACTTTATCTTTTTTTTGTTTAAATTTCATCTTATCTTTTATATCTGAGAAAATGTTTTAATATAATTATTTTAAATGTGCTTAGATGGTATCTTCATGCCATGATTATCAGGATGTATGGAGAACCTAAGACTTCTATATGCCTGAATACGAGTGCAGTGAGCCTGCAACCTGAAGCCTGCTTTGTTAACGTTCAGAGTTGAGCAAGCATAAAGTAAAACTCCTCTCCAGAGCTACCACTTGAAGAAAGAGGTTGGAAAGAGCTGCACATATGCAGGCCTGTTCTCACCCCATTTGGAGCTCTCCAAATACTCAGCTGAGCATCGGT